CTGTTTGTTCTAGCTGCCGCAGATAATTTGGTTTGTGGAAAGCATGGTAGAATCCTTCAGAAAAAAAGAATTTATTGTGTTCAGGTTTTTTTTTTTTTAATCTTGCTAGTGGTTTTTTTGTTGTTGTTTGTTTGTTTACTTTAAATAGATGTAAAATGATATTGAGATTATTGTTGATGTGTTTTCTATTGTGTTAGCAGTTTCTGAGTACTTTTCTTGTAGATTGTTTCTCTTGATTAAAAAAGTAAGTGGAGCTGAGCATGGTTGTAATCCCAGCAGCTGGGGAGGTTGAGGCAGGAGGATCATGAGTTCAACGCCAACCTCAGCAAAAGCAAGATTCACTAAGCAACTCAGTGAGACCCTGTCTCTAAATAAAATACAAAACAAGGGTGGGGATGTGGCTCAATAGTTGAGTGCTCCCGAGTTCAATCCCCACTACTCAAAAAATAAAACAAAATAAGCGGATTGACTGCAATCTAAATGGGAAACAAGAATTTAGAATATGTAATGGTTGGATTTTATCAGAAAAGAGAGCTGTCTACATAGACACTTTTCTGGCATGTAGAGTTTGTTTTCATATGAAATAGTAAAATACATATAATAGATTAAGGAAGGTTTTTTTATTTGGGGTGGGGGTAGTGGTGGTGAATGAAGAGCCTAAGCAATAAAGTCCAGTCTTTATTCAAGCAGAACACTTTCATTTTGTTTGATTTTTTGTTTACCAATGTTCTTATGAAAACTGCTGTTAACGAGTACTTCAGCCAAGATAGTTTGCCTCTTTTTTGTGGCTTTCATCTTGTGTTATACATCAGCACTGTGGTTATTACACCAGCTACCAGAACATCTCACATGACTTTAATGTATAAGCACTATCAGTCCACACCTTGCAATGTCTCATGTTTCCCTAAGAATTTTAAACAAGAAGTCACAGAATTTTGGAGCGTGTATTTCTGAATTGCTTGTGTTTAAATGTTTGATCTTGTTCTTTGGTTTGGTTTGACTAGGGTTGAAATGATCAGAAGAAGTTGCATATTTCTATCCTGAAAGGTAATTCTTTAGCCTGTAGCTCTAACAAGGATCAGATCATTTTTCCCAGATAAATTTTGTTGTTCATATCTGTCCCTAGCTGTCAAACAGAACTCCACTTATTCCCTAGTGACAATCAGTGGACCAAAGTATCTGAAAAGTCCTTTCTCCAGAGCTCTGGCTGCATAGAACTYGGCTTACAGAGGTGAATCTTTCCTTTGGTAAGGCAGTCCTTTACTATTCTGTAAGGTTATTGGCTTAGCTACTCCTCCCACTCTTCTGTAAAAACGATTTTCTTAAGCTAGTCTCTATAATGGTTTGTTTTATTTTTCTGCTGAAATTAAATGCATGATATAATAGTTCACCAAAGATCTGTGGTGGGTTTTAGCAGAGGTTAAAAATATGTGCAGCAACAGTTAGATGGCAGTTTCTACTCCTGTGGGGTTTGCTCCATTTTCTTTTGATACTTCTTTGTAAAAGAAAAGGAAGTTGAAGCTTGGGCTATTTGCTTTTAATCAGAGGAATTAGAGGTCAATTCTGTTCCCATAAATTACTGTGCTAAGACCTTTTTGAAGAATTTTGAAAACTAAAAGCATATTGCTTAGTACTATTAGGAAATTTTAAATAAGAGGCCAAGCTATTTCTTGTTTGATCTTCCTAATGGCATGGTATTGTGGCAGAGAGCTTAAAAATGTTTTAAATGTGTTTTCAGTTCTTATGTTCTTATTAATTTTGTACTTAATTCTTGTGTTCTTATTAACTGTCCTTTTAAAAGAGAGAGAGAGAGAGAGAGAGAGAGAGAGAGAGAGAGAGAGAGAGAATAAGGTTGCAAGCCCATGACTTTGGTTGATATCTCTAGGGGTCAAAGTCTCTAAATCAGCCATGCATAGCCCTAAAACTGTAGCTGCAGATTGAGTCCAGTAACACTTAGTAACAAGTTGAATGTTTTTCAAGTAGGTACTTCAGTATGTTAACAAACATCCATGTGAACTATTATCACTAAGACTTGTGACCATAATATTAAAGTTTCAGCTGGATTGTTTATTTGGAGACATGTCTCAATTAACTGAAAACATGAATCTATGTGAAAAGTTCTAGAAATACATTTAAATTTTATTTTTGCTTTTATGATTCATCTAACAAAACTTTTTTAAGTCTTAAACGCTGGTCTTAGAACTTAAAAACTGCTAGTCTGTTTAAAAGTGATAGTGCCACTCGCTCTCTTGAAAACTGCCATTGGCTGATTCCCTATAGCTTTTGGAACTTGGAGGGAGAAGAGGAACAGGAAGGATCCAACTTGGGAATAAGTTCTGTCTACAGTGTTCTATGTGGTCACTTTGGCAGATTGGAGTTAATGGCAAGTTCTCAAGGAAATCCACTACCTCTTATTTTGCACCAAAAATATTATAGATTTTCAGTAAAGCAAAAATATTGTAACTGGRATATATGATAATAAAACCTAATTTTAAATTGTTTTAAATTTATCACAAATGTGATGTTACTTTTTTGTAAAGATAAGGAAATGTTGGTAAGGACATACAAGGAATTTTGAAGGATAATGAATTTTGGTTTGGTTTCAATTTGTATTAATATAAACTGTTATACATGGATAATTTAATAGGCATTCTATATACCTGCCAATCAAAATRGAGAAAAAGTTAAGATTTTTGTCAGTACTTCAGATTATTTTTTATTTTTTATTTTTTTAAGAARTAAGCCATTGTAGCTAGGTGTGGTGGTACACACCTATAATTCCAGCAGCTGGGGAAGTTGAGGCAGGAGGATCATGAGTTCAAAGCCAGCATTGGTAGAAGTGAGTCTAAGCAACTCARTGAGACCCTRTCTCTAAATAAAATACAGAATAGGGCTGGGTATGTGGTTGAGTGCCCCTGAGTGCAATCCCTGGTATCCCCCGCAAAAAAGAAAGAAGGTATTGTAGTTAAATTCCCACTTCCTTGCTGTTCTTCTCCAAGCACTATCATGAATTTAGCATGTTTGTAATTTGATTTTTAATTTTATCTCACATAAAATTTTAAAATTTTATTATTTATTGTTTTTAATTTACATAAATGGTACTGTACATTGCCTACTATTTTGTAATCATCWTGTTGAAACCCATTGTGATCATTGACTTTCAGCTCTTCCCTAGTATTCAGCTGTAGATATGTCAGATATGTTCCACTGCTCAGTCATTTGGGTTATTTTCAGCTTTTCTGTGTTACACACAATGCTGTCAGAACATCCTTAAGGTGTGTGTGTGTGTGTGTGTGATACTAGGCTTTATATCAAAATGGGCTTATTCACAAAGAGGGGTACATTTTCAACTTTGTTACATACTGCTAAAATACTTACCAAAGTGAGTGTATCAATTTCTAGATCTGTTAGCAAATGATTCATTCTCATATCCTTATCAGTATTTAAAACTAAGGGGAAATGTGGCCCCTCTTTTATAGATGTGGAAACTGAGGACTGTGGAGAATGAACTTATACTAGGGTTGCACTGATTAACAGAACCTTACCTAAATTAAATTTAGTTTGACAGCTATTTGTCTTGTTCTTTTTAGTATTAAGTTGATCCAATAAGTTTCATATACTGTGATCAACACTGTGTTGGGGCATTTGACTTTCAGATAAAACAGGCATAGGTTCCACAGATAGATATGTGATTAGGTGCCATGAGCCAGGCACTGTGCTAGAGACTCAGAGACTTAGCAGTGTATGAATGATCCCTCCTGAAGAGTGCTCAGTGCAGAACAACCTAACATAATCCCAGAACCGTGTGACTGGGAGAATTCAGAAGAGACCTGTGAACCAAATGGGCATTGTAGAAACAGTGGTTGCAGAAGAAATGGAAAAGTCCTTTGGGATTTAGGTTTCTGGCAGTCTTCTTTTTAGCCATTCTAGTATCTTCCCCTTCCCTTGTCATTCCAATCCCCCCAGCCACCCCTACCCCTGCAGTCCAGATGTCTGAGCTTCAGTTTTGGCCCATGACTATTCATTAAGCTGAACAGGACCTGCAGCACTTCCTGAAGCACTGACTAGTGAACWGTATCTGTGGTTGATTTCCTGATCCAGCCTTTCCTAAGGGAAACTTCTCATCTGTGTCCCTAGAGACAAATCTTTTGTTTCTGCTTTCCCTCTGGCCTCTTGGTCCAGTTGTGTTTTACRACTTCATAGCAGCAGTAAGAGCTGGTGATGACCCTTCTGAGGCACAGAGTGCTTCATTTTTACATCAGTGGTCCTGGTAAGCCAAGGAAGTAAGAAAAGTATTTTGAGATAAAAATCAATATTGGCATGAGCTAGGGTTGTAGCTCAGTGGTGGACCACTTGCCTCACATGTGTAAGGCACTGGGTTTGATCCTCAGCACCACATAAAATAAATAAAATAAAGATGTACAAAAAGATATGACAACTTTATAAAAAAAATCAGTCTTGGCAAATTGGGGTCTCTGCTTTATCTTTCAGGGTTCCCAGGAATGCTGTGGGGTAGTTGTGATAACCTTTCTTGTGTGTCTCTTGACTCAGTAGTTTGTGAGGAGTTCAGGTTATTTAAGACCCCAAATAGAAAATTATAAGCAGGTAGATTTTCAGATCCATGTCCTGTATTTTGATAGAGTACTACACAGTTTACAACCACTCTTAGTGGCATTATTTATTTACTTGTGATTTAGACATACATATTGATGGCAGACACTGAAACTTTTAGTTTTGGTTGGTTCTTCAGCTTCCTGTCTGAAGAGTTCCAGAGTTTTTATTCTTGTTAATCAGAAGTCACATCTGCTCTTGTTTCTCCTCCAAACAACATCACAGGCCTGTATCCTATGACTGCACAGTGTAATTTCCATTATTAATGATATTCTTCCCTGTGAGTGACATCATCTGGAAATCTGTAGGTTCCTTGTAGCTGTGGTGCAAAGTCAATCTCRGGTCTTTTTGCTTTGTTTTTGTGACTTTGGTTTCTGCTTTCTTTTCAGATTGCAGTGCCTTTGTCCACAAAGGCTGCAGAGAAAGTCTGGCCTCGTGTGCAAAGGTCAAAATGAAAGTAAGACATTCTGGTGAAAAGATGGCTTAAAATAAAAGGGTTTCAACTAACAAAATACTAAGAAATTGGGAGAGCTGAGGTTGCAGTGGGTTTGTTTGTTTTAATCATTTGGTACCAACCTTGAGGCCAAAATGATCAAACAATAATTTTTCTCAAAAAYGATCAGTTCCCTTCTTGATTTTAACATGCTTGGGAATTTGAGACTTCTGGAAAAAGAAAATGCTTTCAGAGCTTAAACATGTTAAATATACATTTCCCTCTGAGTTTAATATTTCTGAGTTGCTGATTAAAAGAGTTTTGCTCTTAACCATATGTGCAGACCTACTCTGCARTTCACACTTCTGGCTTCCTCATACACTAGACAGACACAGAAGATGGCAAGTGGGGGTGACTGGGGCTGTATTGCAGGGTGCTAAGAGCCAGTGAAAGGACCAGACCAGGAAATTAGGCCAAACCACACTTTTTATTCTAGGCTGCTTGAAACTGGACAGAGGCTAAGTCATCAGTGCAATTTTCTTGTACTTTCTTTTTCTTTAGCAGCCCAAAGGGAACCTTCAGGCCCATGACACGTCTTCACTCCCCACGGTCATCATGAGAAACAAGCGTAAGTAGCTCAGCCAACCTCCTAYAAATCCCTTTCTGACTGACTGGTTCTGTACCATAAGTACTGTTGTAGTGTTCATTTATTATTTCTAATCAGGATTTGAATACCTAATTAGAAAGGCTGTTTATTCTACAAATTCACTCACCAATAGTTTTATATGACACCATCAAATCCTCTTTGAAGGTTTGTATACCCTGTGAAGTTATGTAAATAGTTCATTTTTTTCCTTCAAATGTTACACATGGTTGAGTAAATCACACACTCGCATTCACATCATGCTATCTTCACCAGTCTATGTGAGGCTTCACTTTGATTTTGCCTGATATTTTACTTTTTGTTCTTTATTTCCTATCTCATTCCTAATATTGAATATTTAATGTATGTCTTTCTAATCTGCCATATCTTTAGACATATGTGTTTTGGGGAAAAAATCTGTTGTTTTTGTGCATTAAATTGAAATTAGGTGTTGTGACTTATATATTATTATTTGTTTTCTTTTTCCTTTTTTTTGTCTTCCCGTACTGAGGATTAAACCCAGAGTCACTTAACCACTGAGCTATATCCCCTTATTTTTTTTTTTTTAATGTTTTGAGATAGGATCTTGTTAAGTCTTTAGGGCCTTRCTAAGTTGCTGAGGTTATCTCACACTTGTAATTCTCTTGCCTCAGGCTTCCAAATTGCTGGGATTATAGGCATGAGCCAACCGCACCTGTCTTATTCTTATTTTTCACTCAGTATCATTTTGAGACTATGCATGTTATTATTGTTTTAAGCTGTTATTTCAGATTGCTGCATGATATTCTTTCAAAAGTGTATATCACATTTTAATTACTAGTTCCCCCAAAACAGGATATTTAAGTTGCTTCCAACTTTAAATAACCACTACCATAAATAATGCAGTAATGATTATCCTCTTAGTGACTCTATGAGAACCTATGAGACACTTTCCAAAAATAGAATAATTTCCAGGATCCATTAAACACACATGCTTTTGTGATCCACCCACATCTATGAATCAGAAATTCCAAGGTGGAGTTCAGTGATCTGTGTTTTAATAGGCCCCCTAGGTGATTTTGATGACCCCTTCAGCTTGAGRTTCACAACTTTATGCCTTATTTTTCTAAGTACTTCCAGATAACTCCAGAATAAGTACCAGTCTGTACTCCCACAGGGAAATGTGAAATCCTTAAACATATTGCCTGATGATTACCCATGTTTGCATGTAGATGGCTAGGAGAGATGCTTTGCCAGACTTGACGCCTATGTAAATCTGTGATCCAACCCATTCCATGTGACTTTTGCAAGTCTAACATTAACTCTCTTACTGTAAAATRCCTGTTATGTGCAAGGTGGTGGTTGTCATTTTTTTAATATTTTTTTTCTTTATTTATTTAATTGGGCTGAGGATCGAACCCAGTGCCTCACACATGCAAGGCAAGCACTCTACCGCTGAGCCACAGCCACCTTGCCCAAGTGTGCAAGGTTTTTTATCTCTGACCCATACAAATGTTCGTGTGTGTGTGTGTGTGTGTGTGTGTGTGTGTGTGTTGCTGGAGGTTGCCCATGTTAGGCAAGTGCTGAACCACTGAACTACATTCCTAGCCCACACGCAGATATTTTTATTTCTACTTTACCCCACTGAGGCAGTATACTGGTTGAAAGTACAGATTGTGGATTCTAGTTATATGGATTTGAATCCAAGCACCACTACTAATTAGCTGTGTAACCTTAAATGCTGCTGAACCTCTCTGTGCCTCATTKTCCTCCTATGTAAAAGAGGTAATGATAGGTTTCCTAGGGTGGTCAGGCTACCTACCTGACTGATAAATAAAWTCATACCTGTAGGCTCAGTGGTTGGGCACTTGCCTGGCTTGCCTATTCAATGGATTCAGTCCACAGTGTGCCTCCCACTCTCCCCCCCACACACACACAAATCAGACTAGTAAAATACTTAGTAGTTGGCACTCCTTAAGTTTTGCTGCTATCATTGTCACAAATAACAGACTTAAAGATATTAAGTGACTTCCCTGGGTGGACTATGGATTGCTTTCCATCAATGAAAGGCTATTATTTTCATCCTCTTACCCCACCTTTTGGATACAAGTTGTTCTTTATTAATTGTAGAGCTTTACATAACATTCTACTTCTTCAGCCTTTTCACTGGTCCCTTACCTACATCTCCTACCTATTTCCTCCTCTGCTTTTCTTTTTGCTTCATGATTTCTGCCTTTATTCATACAGTTCTTCTCAGAATGTCCTCTTCTGATCTATTCACATTCTTCAAGAACTAGTGTTGGGTTTCCCCGCCCCCCTTTCAGATTTTGTCTGCTCCCTGAACTCCCTTCTGAAGCACTTGGACTTCAGACTCTTGATACTTGSGCATGTTCTCTTTCACCCATGTTTGCTCTGGCCTACTAGAGCAGGGGCCACAGCTACACTTCTTGGGACTCCTGTAGCAATGTCTGGTTGTGATGCAGTGTGTCATGTTTCTGGTGTTTTACTATACATCACCTTTGTCTAAATAGAATTTGAATTAGAAATGAATGCTTAGCCATTCGCGGTGGCACATGCCTGTAATCCCAGCAGCTCGGGAAGCTGAGGCAGGAGGATTGCAAGTTCAAAGCCAGCSTCAGCAACAGCAAGGTGCTAAGCAATTCATTGAGACCCTGTCYCTAAATAAAATACAAAATAGGGCTGGGGGTGTGGCTCACTGGTCAAGTGTCCCTGAGTTCAATACCTGGTACCAAAGAGAAAAAAAGAAGAAATGAATGCTGTATTAACATTTTTTTTATTGGTTGTTCAAAACATTACAAATCTCTTGACATATAATAATTCATACTTTAGATTCAAGTGGGTTATGAACTCCCATTTTTACCCCAAATACAGATTGCAGAATCACATCGGTTACACATCCACATTTTTACATAATGCCATATCAGTAACTGTTGTATTCTGCTAGTTTAAAAAAATCCTGACATTTGTCAAGGAAAAATAATGTTACATGTATGCCTGTGTGACCATTTGAGCAAATTAAAGTTCCAGTTTCCTCTTTGGCTGTGTTGAAGAGAAGTTTGCAGTAGGAGGATCAATTAGCTATGTGACATTAAACAAGTAATCCTGTTTTTTTTTTAATCCATAAATTAAAGGAATTGGTCAGAATCTGTGCTCTCAAATGATGAACTGAAGAATTGTTTGAGAAGCCTATAAAATATGTAGACTCCCAAGTCCCACTCCAGAGTACAGCAAGGGCTGGGAATTTTATACCTAAGAAACACTTCACAGATGTTTCATGGTATGATCCAAAGAACACTGGTCTCAGTTACCTCTAAGATTCCTTTTACTCTTAATTTCAACCTTATTTTTATGAAGTTTAAATTTTAAAATATATAATATTTTCATGTGATTCTTTATCCTCATTGTTTAGTTTCTATCCCATACCACAGGTAACCACTCTTAGTTTTTCATTTATCTTCTCAAAGTTAGCCTTGTTAATGTAAATACTAACTTGGACTATTGATTTCCCTTTTTTAAAAGCATAAAAAGTGGCCTATTATTATGTACTGTTTTGCATCTTGATTTCTCCCACCCCCTTTCACTTACTGCATCGTAGGGATATGTCAGCACATGAAGAATATTTTCRTTTTGTTAAAGCTGCATAATATTCTAGTGTATGATATACTGTAACTTATTGACCGATTTTTTGGTGCTCATTAGTATCATTTCCAGTCTTTTTCTTTAATCAACAGTATTTCTTTGAATAACTTTGGACACACATCCTTTCAAACATACACAAATATATCTTATAGACTAAACATGTTCTGAAGGTGAAATTACTAATAGCGAGGTGTGGTTGTGCATACCTGTAATCCCAGCAACTTGGCTGTCAGGAGGATAACAAGTTCAAGGCTAACCTTGGCAGCTTAGCAATACCCTGTCTCAAAATAAAAATTGAAGGGACTGAGAATGTAGTTCAATGGTAGAGCACCCTGGGTTCAATCCCTAGTACTGGGTGGGGGGGGGCGGCAGGGAGTAAAATTACTAGATCAAAGAATATCAGTACTTACAAGTTCAGTAATTACTGCCAAACTGTCCTTCATAACCTTTGTAAGCAATTTTACCCTCCAAGGGCAAATCTGTTTTAAAGCACTTTGCTTCTGTTTGGCATTGTCAGATGAATCAGTACTAAGTGGGCATAAAGATGAGACTTCAGTTGTGTCCTCTTCCTCTGCAGCCTCACAGCCCAAGGAGCGCCCTCGATCCGCAGTCYTTCTGGCTGATGAAACCACTGCTGCCCCAATGTTTGCTAATAGACGGTCCCAGCAGAGTGTCTCGCTCTCCAAAAGTGTCTCCATTCAGAACATTACTGGGTAAGTAGGAGGTTTAAAAATAACATGATTGACGTGGGTGATATAATAATCACATCATTTGACAAAAGATTTTTCTTTAGAAACATTTGTGTAAAGTAACGGGTTGGTGCACAGTTGGGTGCTACAGATGTGGAAAATGGGGATTATACTTATGATGCACTGTTATAACTGCTATTTTGGGACAAGGATCTCCTTTAAACACTTACTGTCAGACCACGTTGCTGTAGTATTTGTACATGATCAGCCCAACTTTTGAAGAATATAAAGTTCTAAAGGATGACTTTTAGATCAAATAAGAGGGCATGGGGGGGAAAAGATGATTAAATTATGAATTTTTGTTTGCAGCCACTTATATATTCAAATGTCACACTTCTGTATTGCTCAGATGAGCCTGGTTCTTTAGTTTCTTTTTAAATCATTTTTCTATCCTTGCCTCTAAGTCAGTTTCATGGAGGTAAATTGTGGGCCATTTACTACCATTAAGTTCCGAGTCACTCAGTTGCACTCAGTTCTTTTTGAGGTCTCCTGAAAAGTTGCTGTGGCCACTGACTTCATGCATTGGCTGTCTGGTTAGCATAGGAATGATTATGATGTTTCGGCTGGTTTGGATAAAATGCCTACTTGCCTTTCATCTCAAATGTAAGACACATCTTTTGCATGTGTCTTAACCTTGGTTGAGGGAAGTTAACAAGAGGATGCAAAATTTCCTTTTGTCTGTATTTCCTATCCTCTGTGCTAGCTAATGTTTCCTCCTCTTAAAAACATTTTTGTCTTGTGGTCTCATTATCTCCATAAGTCTTTTTTTCAAAAGTTGTATTATTATCAAGTTGGTTTGCATTGTGACTTGAAAAGTTGTTTTTTAAAAAAATTGAAGTTTTAAGTGATTGTTATTGCTTTTGCTTTTGTGTTATGCAGTACATTTGTTGGGTACCTACTATAYAAGCTGGTGAGTTGGATTGAGAAAGTCCCAAGAATATAGCACTTAGTCTATAATTACTTAGGCAAGGGTAGTGGCTAGGCAATAAGTTTTAAATAGCAAAATTTCTTATATAATATGTGCATGATATGAGTGAAGAAAGTTTTCTTTGCTGATTATCATTTAAATAAAAAAAAAGAAGTCTCAAAGAGTTGAAAAGTTTTACGTATGCAAGGATATTAAATGCTACCAAACTTTAAGAATAGTGTTGTTGCTCTGTGCCTRGTGTAAGTAATTGGTCTTTAGTCACTGTAGAACTTACAACCAGCTATCGTTTTAGAATTTTTCAGGTACTTCTTTAAGTGTGTGAACACTGCTGTTTGATAGAATGTACTTCTTTTTGTCCCCAGAGTTGGCAATGATGAGAGCATGTCCAACACCTGGAAATTCCTGTCTCATTCAACAGACTCACTGAATAAGATCAGCAAGGTCAATGAGTCAACAGAATCACTTACTGATGAGGGTAAGAGGAAGTTGTGGCCTGTATTATATGCCTCTGTAGAGTGTATGCCTCTGTAGAGAATGTGCCTTTACATAGAACACCATTGTTAGTAGTGCCTACCTCTTCCTTACCGTGTGAAGCTTCTCTAAATTTGTCTGTAAAGCATCAAATGCATTAAAATGAATTGGTAATCACCCTTAACCAGTTGTTAATTGTGCCATTGACTTTAAATGTGGGCATACCCTTGTGTGGAGAAATGACTTTTCTTCCCTAGTCTTTTGTGCACTATTAGTTCTAGCTCTCGTGGCATGATAAGCTTACTTTATTAAACCTGTAAAGGTAGCAGATCCCTTCCAGTTCCTGCTTCATGTGGGAATCATCTCTTATTCATATGTTTGATTTATATTTTATTTATCTTTTTTAACCAGTCTTGAATGTAGAGTCTGAGTCACTCCCAAATAGGACATTGATTATTTTCTAGAACCAGGATATGCTCTCCATGAAGAACTAATGCAGAGTATTTGTTTCTTAAGAAATCATTTATCAACCTAAGAAGTATCAAACCTAGGCTTTTTAGAGGTCACAGACTCAAGATTCTAATATTAATTTTTTTTATATTTTGAGGAGTAGGTACAGACATGAATGAAGGACAGCTAATGGGAGACTTTGAGATTGATTCCAAACAGCTAGAAGCAGAGTCTTGGAGTCGGATAGTGGATGGCAAGTTTCTGAAACAGCAAAAGAAAGATGTGGTCAAACGGCAAGAAGTGATTTATGGTGAGATTCTTCATTTGCTCTGCTTACATTTGATTTGCATTGTTCAACATTTTTAAACTAGTGATTTGACAGGCTGTGGAAAAATCAACTTTTGATTTTTAAGATTTTAAAGATTTCCTTTAAAAACTTTGAGGTACACAAACAAGTTCTTATTTGTATCTTTTACTTCCTTTGCCCTATTCTATTTCTTTTTCATTCTCTTGAGTGTTTTATTTATATATGAGTGCTCAGTTGCACAGCAGTCCTTGGAAGAGATCTCTTATGAAAGTGCAGTTTTGAGCCAAGCATGGTAGCACATCCTTGTAATCCCAGCAGCTCAGGAGGCTGAGGCAGGAGGATCACAAGTTCAAATCCAGCCTCAGCAACTTAGTGAGGCCCTAAGCAATTTAGCAAGACCTTGTCTCATAATAAAAAATTAAAAGGTCTGGGAAGGTGGCTCAGTGGTAAATGCCCCTGGCTTCAATTCCCACTACCAAAAAAAAAAAAAAAAAGGAGAAAGTGCAGTTTTGTTTCTCAGCTACACTAGAAAGTAGATGAAATATAAGTTGTTTATAGAGAACAGAAACAGTCATTTATGAGAGGTGCTGAATCCAGTGAAGCATTCTTGGTGTAACCAGTACTTAAGTATACCTGTCATCAGAAAATAGTGTTGGGTAATGTGAAAAGTAGAGGATTAAGATGAGAAAACCTTAGGGAAAATACAGCTATTGAGCCAGTTTTAGAGTTTAAATTGAATTCCAAAATAACCTTATGACTGTAGCAGCTGATCTTTGAAGGACAATGCTCATTTAAACTAAAAATAAAAATTGTTGATTTCTGTCCTCCTTCCCAGAGTTAATGCAGACAGAGTTCCATCACATCCGAACTCTCAAGATCATGAGTGATGTGTACAGTCGGGGGATGATGACAGATCTGCTCTTTGAGCAACAGATGGTGGAAAAGCTGTTTCCCTGTTTGGATGAGCTGATTAGTATCCATAGCCAGTTCTTTCAGAGGATTCTGGAGCGGAAGAAGGAGTCTGTGGTGGATAAAAGTGAAAAGAACTTTCTTATCAAGAGGATAGGGGATGTGCTTGTAAATCAGGTGAGCCACGGGAAGGGTCTCTGGTTCTTCTCACTTGTTGTGAGGGGGAAAAGTGAAGCCTCGGGGCTCAGGAACCATACATTCACATCTCAGTTCTGTCTTTTACCTGTGTAAGCTTAGGAAAGTTAATCTCTCTGAGCCTTGATTTCCTTTTCTATAAAAAAGAACAATAGGGATTCTCTGCTTTTGCTATTTAAAAAAGTTAAAGGGAAGTATCTGTATGTATGTGTGTGTGATATATAGATAAATATGTTATATATCAGTACCTAACACACAGTAGATAACACAGTAAAAAAGAATTGGAAATCAAAGAATACTTATTGGAAGTCTTCACCTTTGCCCTGTAACTCAAATCAGAAGGATCTCATTTACCAAAAAAAAAAAAAAAAAAACGGCTGAGCATAGAAAATTGAACAAGAGACTATCTGTGAAATACATAACTAAAATATGTATTGTTGATATTTTTATCATAGTGGTATGGTTTCACTCCCACTCTAAGAAAATTTATCTAAAAGTTATTTTGATACTTGCAGATGTATTTGTCACAAGCAGCTATTAATGGTTTGTTCAGAAAATTTTCTTGAAAAAAATAAAACTTACAGGTATAACACACATACAATTAGTATTTTTTCCCCCAGCAAATCTCTGCTTTTGTGCAGGAACAGAGGCTTAATTGCTGGAACATTTGTCTGAGAATTAGAAATTTTCTCTTTTCCTTGTATTAGCCCATCCTGCTCATTTCACTAATTCATTATTGTATTCATTCATTCTTGAAGTATTTACTGAGCATCTGGTAAATACACAGATATGTTAAACATGACTTGGACCTCTGCCTCAGGGAACTGCTATTCTAGAAGTAAAAATAGGCGTGTTGTGAAATAAATGCAAATCTAGTATGGCAGATTTGCATATTGAACAGGGCATCTGCAGCAGAGCCTTCCAGTCATGTTCCATTCCACTCTTTCTGCCTTACCTCTCTGCCTTTAAGGCCTGCAACAGGCAATTCACCTAACCTTGACTTATATTATCATTTGTAGCTCCTTACATTTATATACATCCCCTAGTAAGATCATTGACACTGGGATTGAAACCATAGTACTGGTGTCTATTTCTGTGCACCAGTGCTGGATTTTATCTTTTAGGGCGCTTGTTTTAGGGTGTAAGTAAATAACGATCTTTCTGCTGGTTTCTCCATTGGTAAGTGGGGATAGGAAAAACTACCCTGAGTCCTTTTCAAAAAAAAATTTTTTTTTTTTAATATGGTGCTGAGGATTGAACCCAGGGTCTTGCACATGCAAGGCAAGCCCTCTACTGCTGAGCCATAACCCATGCCCCAAATTCTTTTTTTTTTTTTTTTTTTGTATAGTGCTGGGTATTGAACCAAGGGCCTTATGCATGCAAGGCAAGCACGCTGCCAACTGAGCTATAGCCCCAGTCTGCTTTTCAGATTTTTTTGGTAAAGTGTAATATGTCTAGAGATTTTTAGTGCATGGAAATCAGTGCTTAGCATGAATTAGATAGACACCTTACAAAAATTCACTGATTTACCCCAAGGTGAACATTACTTCAGRTGGGTCTTTGAGATTGCACAGATTTGGGAATTATTTAAGGGTATGCAGGTTTATTAAAACTGCTTACCTGAAGTAAAAGTATCTCATGAAGAAAAACCCAGCCCTTATCTTAAATTAAGGAGGTCAAAGTTTTAAGACATGAAATGCATTTTTAAATTATGAAAATGTAAGTTTTATTCAGATAAAATTCTTATTCTGTAACAATCCACCCATTTAAAATGTGAAGCTAAATTGTTTTTAGTATATTCAGAGTTGTATAACCACCATCATAGTGAATTTTAAAACATTTTATCATTCCAGAAAGAAACCCCATACTCATTAGTAGTTGCTCCCTTTCACACAAAAACATCAAATTGCCCTAATCCTAGGTAACTGCTATTATATTTTCTCTTGCCTCTTCTGGACATTTTTGTATAAACATAATAAAACAATATGTGGTCCTTCATGACTGGCTTTTTTCAAGATTATAATGGTTTTCAAGATTATTCAGAATTGTAGTGTGTAATAGTACTTTGTTGCTTTTTATTACTGAATGATACTTCATTGTATGGATACCATGTTTTATTTATTTTATCTACAGATGGACATTGTTTTTACTATTTGGGGGCTATTATGAATGATGTTGCTATGAACATTTGTGCATAAGTTTGTTTTTTTAAGAGAGAGAGAAAAGAGAGAGAATTTTCTAATATTTATTTTTCAGTTTTCGGCAGACACAGCATCTTTATTTTATTTTTATGTGGTGCTGAGGATCGAACCCAGCGCCTCACGCATGCCAGGCGAACGCATTACCACTTGAGCCACATCCCCAGCCCTGTGCATAAGTTTTTATGTAGATGTACRTTTTCATTTCTCTTGGGTATACACCTAGGAGTAGAAGTAGTAGGTCTCATGAAAGCTCTGTGTTTGACCTTTAATGGAGTGCCAAACCATTTTCCAGAGCTGCTGTCAATTTATCTTTAAGGGGAATTTATGAGAAAGCATTCTTAGCTTTTACAAATGGACTGGAAACTTTTTACAGGATGATCCCCTGAGATAGAGCATAACTGTTATTCTCTTTCCTCTGCAGTTTTCGGGTGAGAATGCAGAACGCTTAAAGAAGACATATGGCAAGTTTTGTGGGCAACACAACCAATCCGTAAACTACTTCAAAGATCTTTATACAAAGGATAAGCGTTTTCAGGCCTTTGTAAAGGTATTGATGTGAAACATGAAAATCTCCATCAAGAGCAATACATCACTGTCAGTTTTAGCTGCAGTCTTCCTTGTGCAGAAGTTCCTAACAGTTTGTTTACTCCCTTGCAGAAGAAGATGAGCAGCTCAGTGGTAAGGAGACTTGGGATCCCAGAGTGCATATTACTTGTAACCCAGCGGATCACCAAGTACCCAGTTTTGTTCCAAAGAATATTGCAATGTACCAAAGGTGAGTCTCCTTTTTAACTCAGTTTTATGTGCCATTGCACTGTTGACCAAATTCTATCCTGTAGCGCTAGAGACCACCATAGAAAGCTGTTTCATATTGCATTATGTCTAAAAGAAAGCCTGTGCTTTATCTTGAAAACAGTTTTCTTTAGTGAAAACTTGGAATGTTATGTCACCAGATTTAGGATGGATGATAACAGGAAGGAAAAGGGAGTACTTATTGATTCCATGAAGAGTTCAGAGCCCTGAACAGCTAATTTCCCTGATCACTATACTGTCARACAGTTCCACCAGTTCTTCCCATGAGTGCTAGAACTGCTGCTGCTTCTCATGTAATCACTGCATGCTGATTTATCGTCTTAGGTTCTCCTAAGCATTTACATTAACATTAAAGATTACAAGCTAGCTAGCTATGTTAAAGATTTGGTAAAATAAAGAAATAAATAACTTGTTGCTCCTTCCTAGCCCTCCCTACTTAAAATGTAGGGTTTCTTTTATTTTGAACAGAGATATAAGTTCATATTATCTGTATTATTGAGAACTGCTAACCTTCCTTAGTATTAGACTTAGAAATGCAAGAGAGAGGAGCATGTGACCTCTAGCGTGGTGTCTGCACTCTGATAGCCTAACCACAGAGGGTGAATGATGAAGTGGAACAAAAAGGCAGGACTCCCTCCCCTTCTACTCTAGTCTGGAAGGAAGCCATTATAGCAGAATTATTCTTTGTTCCAAAGACAATGAAGCAGAGCAAGAAGACCTAACTCAGTCCTTGAGCCTGGTGAAGGATGTAATTGGAGCCGTAGACAGCAAAGTRGCAAGTTATGAAAAGAAAGTGCGTCTCAACGAGATTTATACAAAGACAGATAGCAAGTCAATCATGAGGATGAAGAGTGGTCAGATGTTTGCCAAGGAGGATTTGAAGCGGAAGAAGCTGGTAAGAGATGGAAGCGTGTTTCTGAAGAGTGCTGCTGGAAGGTTGAAAGGTAAGGCTCAGCTTACTTGTGTCTGACTATGTGCCTGAGGAGAAAATCCAAGTATTTTGTTGGAAAAATTCACCACAGGTTTTTTTTCCTCTGGAGCCTATGTCCAAACATCACTCAGGAGCAATAATCATTTAATTGTGATCTTAGATCAAAAAAAGACTGGTTGAGCCGAGCACCGTGGCACACACTTGTAATCCCCAGCATCTCAGGAGGCTGAGACAGAAGGATTGCAAGTTCAAAGCCAGCCTCAGCAATGGCGAACTGCTAARCAACTCAATGAGACTCTGGCTCTACAAAACAGGGTTAGGAATGTGGCCCAGTAGTTGAGTGTTCCGGARTTCAATCCGCGGTAGCCCCCCTTCCAAAAAAAAAAAGCCTGGTTGGAAATATTTTGCAAAAATCATATGAAATAAAATTAAGTAAACAAGGAAATGATGCAGTCAGGGAAAATGGAAAATAAGATTTTAAAAAATAAAGGGGAAAATTTAAAATTAATACAAATGTACAAGCAGTTAAGGAAGATGCATTCTCTTATGAGAGGAATGACCAGTGTGGGATTAGGGCCTGTGGGAAAAAAGTTACAAGGAGGGAGGACTCAGTCAGCATCTGTGAGATTGAAAACACAACACTTGTTCCCAAGAGATGTTAGAGGGCCTTGTAGCTTCAGAGACCTTAAAGGTAAGTTTAACTCATATGAACCAGAAATGTTCTCTCATCTTTAAGATATAATGATGTAGGTAACTGCTATCAGAGGAGTCCTTACCATAGTCTTACCATAGAGTCTCACCATGCTTGGAACAGTATTACAGAAGCCCCAGGCAGTCAACTATTTTCAAACATGAATGAATCTGGGATCAAAACAAAACTACTTGGAAAGAGATACTTGCTATCRAATCTGATATGTGCTGGAACAGGGAAAAGGGTGGGTAGTAGTGGAATTATTCCTGGTGGTGGGGACTAGCAAGTGTGGAAACATGGAATTGGAGAAGTAGACAGCCCAGGCTCTCAAACAGATTGCACAGTGAGTGACAGGGAAGAATGGAAAATAGGCCTGAAGAAAACTGCTGGAGCTGCACTGTAATGAGGAGCATAGTACACACCGAGGCATCAGTGGCCACTCTTGACATATGTGGGGTCTGTATTCACTTGAGACCAGAGAGTGTCTGTAGAGGCCATTCTTGTTMTTTGGGGGCACAGAAGAAATCTACTTTTTGTTAGACTTAGATACTTCTGTATATCAACTTTCATGGCTATTGTTTCCCATGACTGTAATCATAAGCTGAGAAAGATTATAATGTGCGAATTTTRTGGAAAATGTTGCTCTAGGTTGCTGTTTAACATTGGTTGAAATCAAAATTCAAAACTATTCTTAAAAGCATTCTTAAAATCTTGCCCTCTAAAAKGTATCTCTTCAGGACTGAGTATTTAAACTTTTCCAAGATAAGGCTTTGGTGATAAACCCCATTTTAAAATGCCTTTAGAAATCTAGTGACTGGGACTAGTCCTACAGAACTGTAAAACTGCTGCATCGAGGAAGAGTGTGATCTCAGACCATAGTTTACCCTTGTGGGGTGTATGACTGAAACTCCTTCACTAAAAACCCTTCAGGCTGTAGTTAACTATTTAGTGATCATTGTTCCCTCTTATCTTTCCCCATTGCTGCTTTTCAGAGGTCCAAGCAGTTCTTCTCACTGACATTTTAGTTTTCCTTCAAGAAAAAGACCAGAAGTACATCTTTGCATCATTGGTAAGCTGAATTGTTACTTTCTTCTGTTTGGAATTAATACTATCCAAAACAACTAGGTTAGGTGTGGAGTATAATCACTAACTCATGGTTCACCCACCCTCTGAAAATTAAATGGCTCAGGATCAATTCCTGTAATTTCTTACATAGCCTCATGATTTTCTGTTGTTCCTTCCCACTGCCAAAATTATTTTTCTATTCTCTCACAATCCTTTTTATTGCCCAGAACRTTTGATGATTTGAATAGAAATTTGTCACTGAAGTGATTCTCATGATTTGATCTCATAAGTGGTGCTCATGTATGATATGTCTGTGGGGAACCTGGAGTCATTATGTGAAAAACATGATTAGACTATCATCTCCTTTTTGGAAATCTTTTTCTGTTTTTTAAAATTGAAATGAAATAGTAAGATATTTGTCTTTATCCTAAAATTGCCATTATTCTTTTAATCCATACGCACTTAAACAGTATCTGGTCTTATCTTAGATAAGAGTTGTTCTTAAAAGTCAGAACWTTGGATACATATTTTATATTTGCCCTTTCCCATTTTCTAGGACCAGAAATCAACAGTGATCTCTTTAAAGAAGCTGATCGTAAGAGAAGTGGCACATGAGGAGAAAGGTCTATTCCTGATCAGTATGGGAATAAAAGATCCAGAGATGGTGGAGGTCCATGCCAGCTCCAAAGAGGAACGAAACAGCTGGATTCAGATCATTCAGGACACAATCAATACACTGTAAGTGAAACACTAGGGCCCACCCTTCCTAGACCTCTTGATAACTCTGTAATTTCATAATAGATCAGGCAGTAATCAGAGTAATTGATACCTTAGGAATTTTTTATTTTGTCTTTTCTTTTGATTTTATTAGGAACAGAGATGAAGATGAAGGAATTCCTAGTGAGAATGAGGAAGAAAAGAAAGTGCTGGATACCAAAGCCCGGGAGTTAAAAGGTAACTGTTGGTCACTGGTCCAGGGCCTTTGTCTGTGGGAAGTCTATGATTGCAAAAGACTRTTAGTGGTTTCCAGAGGTACTGGCTGCTCCTCAGCTCCAGAGCTATCTCAGCAGGCCTTGACAACAGAGAAATGAAGAATTCCTAACAAAAGAGTCTTGGCAAAGAATGGCTATAAGAATGGTCCAATATTAGATCAAGAGAATGTTAATTGTCTTTCCAGCATCAGTATTCCTGGACCCTGATGACATTCTTTGTGTTTATCACAGAGAATTTACCAAATTTCATGGTCACATCTAAGATTAAAACAAAGGAAGAAAGGTATCTGAGGAACATAATCCTCCTGTTAATCTTCCTGTCAGTCCTGGCTTTCTCAGTCATCCATACGTTCATAAATGAGTAGTGAGGTGGTTTGGGAAGAAAAGTACTTATTGATTATGTTTGACCACTATTTATTATCTGCTTTTTCTTATCAGTACTCTACAAGACAAATATTTTATTTCTTATTGTGCAGGTGAGATACTGAGGACCCCAAAGGCCAAACAACCTAGAGTCGAATGTATAGCTAGTGACTGAGCCAAAATTATAATTCCTATYAGGATGAGATAAACAGAAGGACCTGATACTCATCCCCTTCACATGGCTTATTGCATGTTCCAAAATAAAGACTGCTTTGAGTAGAAATCAGGCTGAAAGTCAAGTAAATGTAAACACTAAGGTGTTGTTAGTCCTTTAAGCTGTATAAAGGGATAGCATTCTGTTTCATTGAAGGAAAAAAAAATGGACAGGTTTAGGCTGGAGCCAATTTTATCAAGTTTTTATCTTACATACCAAATGATTAGGATGACAAGGATAAAATGTTTCTTCCGTTAACATTTGTTAGGCACCTGGCTAGGTGTCCTACTAGATACTAGGGGAAACTCACACTCCAACAATGTAGACACAAGGGAATGACGGGCCACAAAGTGGTTATGAGACCCATAAACACATGTAAAGTGTGGGAGATCTGCTCATCTGCCTCTGATAAGTTACAGAGAAGTTAATGCCTGAGCTACATCTGAAAAAAAAAATATATCTCCCTGAATTAGAATAAGATAAGGGATTGGATGTATCTGCAAAGAATGACAGTTTTGAGGTATCTGGAGGGTCAAGGCTAATTGACAAGACAACAGCTTAAGCTGGGAAGGAACCAGGTCTTGAAAGGAAACAAGGGCTTAATGATAAAATTTAAAAAAATAGTTTTAATATGTGTTGGAATCCATTAAGACAATTGCTGGAGGGAGTGGGGGTCCACTGGTAATAGGTCAGTTTGGAGACTCTTAGGTCCAGATATGTGAGAAATGAGATAGAAGACTGATGTGAATAGGAAATAAGATTATTAAAACTTGGTCAACTGGATGTGAATGATGGAACAGAGTGAGGAGACAAACTCTCAGGACTCTAAATTGGGTAACCTGAAGGATTGGGAGTGCTGAGGAGGAGACCATAAGCTAAAGGAAAGAGTAGGATAGCAAGACCAGAAAACAGATTGGTTTCTGACATCCTGAGAATAAGCCATCTCATTAGAGATGGCCACTTGACAGTGGGGCTCAGAGGTTTGACACTCAAAGAGAGAATAGGATTTGAAATGCTTGTTGGGAATTATTAGCATACAGGAGGTAATTAAAACCATGGGAGTGAGATCCCCAAGCAGAAAAGTGTAAAAAGTATAGAAAGCAGCAGAGGTTGGAACCATGGGAGGAACCCAGCTATGCCACTCCCTGGCAGATGGCAGATCCATGAAGTGCCCTAAGAAAGAGTGATAGGAATAAAACTGATGTATTCAAGTGAAGGAGGGAAATTGTCTCAAAAGGAGGAAGTAATCATCTGTTGGAAAAGACCTAAAACTAGGGCTGGGGCTGTAGCTCAGTGGCAGAGCACTTGCCTAATATATGTGAGGTATTGGGTTTGATCCTCAGCACCACATAAAAATAAATGAATAAAATAAAGGCATTTTGTCCATGTACAACTAACAACAACAAAAAAAAAAAAAAACAAAAAAACCTAAAACTAAACTAAAGGATCTCTGGCTGGGTACAGTGGCACACACCTGTAGTCCCAGCTACTTAGGAGGCTGAGACAGAAGAACCACGAATTCAAGGCCAGTCAGGACAACTTGGTGAGATTCTGTCTCAATACAAAATAAAAAGATCTGAGGAAGTGTCTCAGTGGCAGAATGCTTGCCTAGAATGCTAGAGATCCAAGGTTCAATCACCAGCACCACGAAAAACGAAAAGCTCTCTTTGAATTCAGTAATGAAAGCAGTTGGCTGAATGGTGGGGCCAAATCAGGAGAGAAATAGGTTGAAAAATAAAAAGCCGAATAAGGGAGCAGAAACACAAAAGTACAGGCTTATTTGGTTAGATATGCCAAGGTGATCTTCCAGGTAGCAATTATAGATTATAAACTTGATAACTGCCTGCAAAATGAAAAGGAGTAGGGGCTGGGGTTGTGGCACAGTGGTAACGCACTTTTCTAGCATGCATGAGGCACTGGGTTCAATTCTCAGCACCACATACAAATAAATAAAATAAAGGCCCATCAACAACTAAAAAATATTTTTTAAAAAATGAAAAGGGGTAGAGGAAGCCATTTTCTGTCTTGGCCTTTTCCATAAATTACCACAAGGTGGAGCTCATGTTTTAGTCATCTTAAAATTCTAAGCAAATCACTAATGGGTTTTCTCCATCCACCCTAAAGAACAACTTCAGCAGAAGGACCAACAGATCCTCCTCTTATTGGAAGAAAAGGAGATGATTTTCCGGGACATGACTGAGTGCAGCACTCCCTTGCCAGAAGATTGCTCCCCAACTCAAAGCCCTAGAACTCTCTTCCGCTCGAACACAGAGGAGGCTCTCAAAGGAGGACCTTTAATGAAAAGTGCAATAAATGAGGGTAACTACCATTTAGTATTACTCCTTCTTTGGCCTCTCCCAATGTGGATTAAACACTGTTAACAGTTTTTACTGTGTTACTGTAAAATAAAGCACCGATACAGAAAATTAGAGTAAACCCTTGGCTCAATTATCAGTTGAGCATCCTTATACAGGTCAAGAAATACAATGTAGCCAAACACCCTAAAAGCCCCTCCAGGTACCCAGTTCCCATCACATCTCCCTCCTTCTAATAGGAGCAGATATTTTCTGCCCTTACTAGTAATTACACTCTGTCCYCTTCTTTGTATATAGTCTGTCTTTGAATCATCTGAGCTGTTTAAACTAAAAGGTGAGTATTATTCATACTGCAGTTCTGGCCTCTCTTTCCTTCAAATTCACAGCTGAGTTCAGAGGCTTAATTGCTCAGAATTGATTACTTTTGGCAAGCTRTGTTTTTGTAGTGTTGCATTCTTTGTCAGGAGGCACCAAATATGTAATTGACCCCCCTTTTATGTTGCTGTTATTTTGGGGGGAGGAGTTGGTAACATAGGAAAAATAGGGTAAATTCTTGGGGTTTTTTTCCCCCTCCCTTTATTTATCAGTTTCCAAAGTTAGTAAATTGGTTTATGGTCCTTCTGAAGGGAGGAACCATACTTTTTTTTCTTTTTAATATTATTATTATTTTTAATAATAATATTTTTAATAATATTTTTATTTTAATATTTATTCCTTTTTTCACCTATTGAGCCATTTTCTGTTGATTCTGGGGTATAGCTCAGCGGTAGAGCCTATGGATCACTGATGTTCAATCAAATATAAATAAAATAAATGTGGAGGATTCATGGTTTTAAACATGCTCACTGAGTTCCAAGTCATTGCAATTCTCAGTGTCATTTAAAGCTCAGAGTGTCCCATCTTTGCCAGTGAGCATCTCTTTGTTTGACTTTGCATTATGTAGCATGACCATAGTCATCTGAGAACTCTTTTTACCATCTGGTAGAGTACGATGGTCCAGGCTCATCTTGATTGTTTTCTGTCCCAGAAAGGAATCAACCATTTTCCCAAGAGCTCTATTTTTTTTTAGTGGAAAATAATATTTTAAAACAATAATATGGACACTGGGGATGGTCAGTATTACGCAGTATGTCATTGTTGCTAGCTTGGGCTTTTTCAGTGGACAGAGTTGGGTGAATATATTTATATGAATTCATGTTGATATATCTAATCAAATTGTGAAGTATAGGGKTTTTTTTAACCTAATGTCTCATATTACATCTCTGTCCTTCCTTCCACCTTATGAATCTTCATTCTCAAAGATGCATCATAGAATCAGAATATCCTGTATTTACTTACTGTCTTTATTTTACTTTAACACACACAACAGTGTCAAATAAATAATACTGGTACTCCTGCTACCAAACATAATTTTTGTACATTAGCCCCATTCTCCCTATGTATTTAAGTAGGTGTTCTGTGTCTATACTGTCAGCTTGTAACCATTTATACTGAGCTCTCCTCTCATACTCTTGTTCTACAAGCTCATAAAATTAAAGCTTACCATCAGTCCTTAGGTCAGTGTCCCTCTATTCATTATGGTTGTCTGAAGCTTATCTCCAGGAGATAMCTTAGGAAAGCCTTATGAGAGTAATATCCTGAATTCGTGCATGTCAGTAATCACTTGAGCATTTTGTACTTGAAAATCTCTTCTGCTGGATGTAAAATTCTTGGCCTGTTTTTTTCTTCCCTTGGATGTGTTAGTTTTCTTCAATGTTACTTTGTTTTGTACTGGCATAAAGTGTTGCTCTCAGAGGCTGATGACTATTTGATTTTCCCATGGAAGTCACTTGCCTGGATGACCAAAGGATTTTTTTTTTTTAAGTCCAAGTAGTTGTACTAGACTGCTTTCTTGTTGGTTGTTTTGGTTGAGTGTCTGTTTTGATGTGGTCACAGGTTTCAGCAGAGCATTCCTGAATCACAGACTTCAGGTGTTCTCCCTGTTCCCTGTGTGGTTTGCTTCTCCAGGAACTGCATTTGCCCAAGTGATGGTCCATCTTGCATATTTTCAGTATTTATTACTTTACTTTTAATACTTTTTATCTCTTCATTTTTAATATTTTTTCCTTTTTTTACTTGTTGAGCCGGGTTTTTTGTTTGTTTGTTTCAGTTCTTTGAGTGTTGCCACCTCATCTCTTCTTCTAATTTTGACTTAGGTTTTTTCACATCTTGTTTGTTTTCTCAACATGTTTAAGCATTTTTGTTTTCTGTATATATCTTTCTGCTGTTTTTTTTTTTCATATTGTCTTTAAGGAAGTTACTCCCCTGTTCTCTACCCTCCCTCCATTTCTTAACTTTATATGGGATTCAGCTTCAGTACTTTTATATGAAATTAGTTTTTTAAACTTTGAGGTTCAGATAACTTTTCTCATTTGGTAGTTCTCTTATTTTTGTGTGGTTTTGTTGCAATACCAGGGATCAAATCTACGGGTGCTCTGTCACTGAGCTACCCGCCCCAGCCCTTTTTATTTTGACTAAGTTGCTGAGGCTGCCACAGTGCCCAGCTTTTGTAGGATTTTTTTTTTTAATGTAATGCTTGTTATGATATTTCCTGCCTCTGATTCTCTCAGGACCTTTTTTCTTTCATTCCTGTTGTCCCTCTTCTCAACTTTTAGCACTTTCTCCTTTCTGTAGGCTCTGCCCTAGAAAAGAGCCCAAATTGGTGAGATTTGAGAAGTCAGATGCTTAGGTTCCTCRAGCCCCTTGAACCCCTTGCCATCAGAGGGACCAAAACCCCACCAGTTTGACTTCTGTTTTCACATTGACCTACCTTGCTTTCAGGGATTATCTTTGGGTCTAATTCCAGAAGCCATGCTCCTTCCAGTAAATTACTCTGCCTTCCTTAAACTGTCAAATTTCCCAGATTTAATAAAAGTAAAGTTGAAGGTTCATCTTGAAATGTTTCCATAGAATCCAGCTAAAACGTATACCCTGAACTGAGTCATTCTGGACCAGAAAAGTCACCCAGTCACTCTGAGAACATCCTCATCCTGCTCCCTGTACATATCATGCATTACCATGACATGTTTTCCTTCTCATTGAAAAACTGAAGGTCAGCTTTGTGTGTTACCTTTTTTCCAGTGGAGATCCTTCAGGGTTTGGTGAGTGGAAGCCTGGGAGGTGTACTTGGGCAAGCCATCAGCAGCCCTGTTGAGCAAGAAGTCATGGCTGGCCCTATTTCTCTGCCCCGGAGAGCAGAGACCTTTGGAGGGTTTGACAGCCATCAGATGAGTGCTTCCAAAGGTAAGCACTCCTTGACTCTCCCACACAACTAAAAATGACTTGTATTCTAGTAGCTCCATCTTGTCTGTCCTATTTAATCAATAAATGTTTTAGTGGCATTCTAAAACACTCAGTCATTGGGCTGGGGATGTGGCTCGAGCGGTAGCGCGCTTGCCTGGCATGCGCAGGGTGCTGGGTTCGATCCTCAGCACCACATAAAAATAAAATAAAGATGTTGTATCCACCGAAAACTAAAAAATGAATATTAAAAAATTCTTTCTCTCTCTCAAAAAACAAAAACTCAGTCATGTTCATTTTGACTAACAAAAAATATTCTTCTGTGATCTCAGCTAAGCTATARCCAAAGAAATAATAATATACATTGAGATCCCTAACCCCCAAATTCAAAATCCAAAATCCAGAACTTCTAGAGTGCTGAAATGATGCCACAAATGAAAAAATCCACACTTAGTGGATAGTCAGAACATAGGCATGCTAAAAATATTGTATAAAATTACCTTCAGTCTGTGTATAAAGGTATATATGAAACAAATGAATTTTGTGTTTTGGCATGGTCCTGTTCTCAAGATAACTCATAACATGCATATATCCCAAAATCTGGAAAAAAAAAAAAAAAAAAAACCCCAAAGTTCAAAACATTCTAATCCCATGCATTTAGACAAGGCAGGGATATTCAACCTTACTTCTTTTTCCTTCCTGCTAGGGCTTTTGCATAAGTGAAATTACTAATAATGGTTTAGACTCCAAGTAGATTTTCCTTTGGAGGGCAGGGGAAGTATTAATACAATTCAGAAATATCATATCCCTAAATTATCTATATCATATTCTTTCCTTGACTAGTCTCTTTCACAACTTAAGAACAACAACTAAAAACAGCTTTGTTTTTTATTTAGGAGGCGAGAAGGAAGAAGGAGATGATGGCCAAGATCTTAGGAGAACAGAATCAGATAGTGGTCTGAAAAAGGTATTTATTTCTAGAACACATTATATCTGAACCTCTTTGGCACTTTCCTCAGAATTCAAAACTTTTAAAATTATTCTACTTTAATCTTGTTTTGGATGCTTGACTTTCTACTTTTAGTAAAATTTTTATTTTGAGGGAAAGCACAGTATTAAAAAAGACTATACAATTGAGAATCCCACATCATTGGCACTTTGTCCTCCCTGGTTTAGATTTATTTTAGAGTATAAACACTTTGTTTACATTCTTAATTCCACCATCTTTCTGCCAGGACCAGTTTCATTAAGAGGTTTGTTTTAGCCTCCCCAACAAACCTGATCTCTWTATATGACTTCAATAATAAATAGTTGAACCTTAGAACTATACTACCTTCCAGTGAGAGTAGAAAAAAATAGGAAACTACAGTGTAACTTAGAAACACATTGCATATAACTTTTGCATCAAGATCATCATTTTTAAAATGTGTATTTTTTGTTTTAAGGGTGGAAATGCTAACCTGGTATTTATGCTTAAAAGAAACAGTGAGGTAAGGAYATTATGAACTATATAAAAGAATATGTATTTCTAATCATTGTTAAGAACATTCTTTTTTGTTTTGCTGTTAGAAACAAGCTAACTCCTGGCTGTAATCTATTTATGAAAACCATACAATTGTCCATTTCCTCTGCCATTTCCTCGGCCTTAGGCACTATCTTGGAATTTTGCCAGTGAAAGTATTGTCCTAAGGCTATTTCCAATTCTCTGTCCTTAAGAGCTTCTTGCTTTTCTTCAGCTTTCTCTACACAGGGCTGTGAAGCCCTATTGGTGATTTTCTTTAGTCCAAGTTCACAGAGTACAATTTGTAGTAACGTTTCCTATAACACAAACCTTATCCCAAAAGTCAAAAGTCTGAACGTGGGAATTTAACTTACTGCATAGTAATATTTTCCTCTTTCAAGAACTAAAGTTGAATTTGCTTCTTTGAACACTGTCTTTCATGCAGTATGGCATGTGAAGGAGCCAAGTAAAGTAGCCTTAGGGTCCTCCCAGGTGGAAGTCTGACCCTGATGCTAGTCTCCTGTAACTGCCCTCAGCTGAGCTCTCTGCCTGACCATGCAGGGTACCAGCACTGCTGTCCCTCAGACCCTCCCTGACTCCTTTGGATAAAATCAGCTTCAGAGTCACAGCTGTGTCCAAGATTAGCTTATTCTGAACCTCTACCTTTGTGGGTAAGCAGACTAGAATCAGATAAAGTGATAGTAGCTTCTTTTTGTGGGCGGGGGTGACGTAGCAGAGATTGAACCTGGGGCATTTAACCACCAAGGCACATTCACAGTACTYTTAATTTTTTTTTTTTTTATTTTGAGGCAGGGTCTTGCTAAGATTACTAAGGGTTTAGTGAAGTTACCAAGGATGACCTCAAACTGTGATCCTTCTGCCTCAGCCTCCCAAGTCACTGAGTTTACAAGCATGCACCACCACACCTGGTTGTGATAGTTGGGTTTTAGGGAGCACCTCTCAAGGATATTCTTTTAGTTTCTGCCTTCTTGTATTTAACATAAGAGCTTMAATCCCTGCAGAGCTTCATTTTGAATTTTTAAATGAAGGGAAATCATTCCTCCTCAACCCCCCCCGCCCCAAAAAATGAACGCTATTGTATTTTGTTTGTTGGCATAAAGTCTAATATAGCAGTCGCCTGAATGCATCCTGTTTGTGTTTATTCCTGAAGTGGCGTGAACCTGGGCCTGAGGAGGTTGCTGGCTCTATGTCTGCTACTTGAAAACTAGTTGCTAGTTGATTTTTCCATTCGGCAACTTCTTTCCCTATACTTAGTGAGAGAAGTCAGAGATACTACAAGACTACTTTGTTTTTGAGGCATTCCAGTATAAAGTACATACTATAGTGGGCAGCTAGGACCCAGCAGATCTTCTTTCTAGAGTAAACTTAATAAGGAATAAAAACTATTTTGAAAATAACTATGCTTAGTAACTATGTTTTGGGGTTTTGTTTTTAAATTTATCTAATAAGTATAATCCCACCACTGAGTAATAACTTGTGATAAATGTTTGGTGTTTATATTTCCAACATTTTCTTCTATTTGATATGTCTCTGTGTATGAGTGTTGTGGAAATAGTTTTATACAATTTGTATAAGTACCTCTGGGTTTCGTCCTCTTCTTTTTTCTCTCAACACATCCTAGAAGCATTTCCCAAGGCATGTTTGTACAAAGCCTGGTATTGAACAGCTGCATATTAATCAGTGTATCATGTACCATAATTTATTTAATCTTCCTAGTAGTTATTTCTTTCTCTCCCTCCCTCCCTCTCCCCCCCCCCTTTCTCTCTTTTAAATTTGGGTCAAGGTCTCTAACTTGTGATCCCCTGCCTCCCAAGTGTCTGGGATTACAAGCATGCACCAATGTGCCCAGCCCACTTTTTGTTTTTTAAATAATGCAGCCAGGAACATCCTTGTGCATACACTCTTTGCATAGTTTTTTCATTATTTCATCAACATGCCAGATTGCTGTCTGAACTGTTACATGATACCATACTCTGTTYCTCAGTAGAATCCATTTTTTTATCTTAATTTCCCCAGCATGGATGTTAGCATTTTTTAAATTAACGTTTTGTTGGTTTGATAAATCCAAGTTTCATTTCTTTATTTTATTTTGCATTTATTTAATTTCAAATAAATTATTAATTATTGTTCTTATGTTCGTGCTGGAGATTAAACCCAGGGCTTCAGGCATCCTAAGCAGCACTCTGTTACTCTCTGAGCTATACTCTCAGCCCCTGAATTGCTGCTGATATTGTATGTAATTGACCATTGTATTTCTTTGGTAAATTGCTGGTTTGTGTTTCTGGCCCATTTTTGTACTGGGTTATTCTTTTTTTCTTTTTCTTTTTAATCTTAGTGATTTATGAGAGCCTTTTGTAAATCAAAGATTTTTTTTCATTTAAATTTGTGTTAAAGTTTGTCCTTCATGTTTGTGTGTGGTTTCTTTCATTACTTTCATGTTGAAAAAGCCTCCCCTATAGCTCTTTTATGGTTCTGTTTTTACCCTTAATATATTCATCTATTTGAATATTTTTGTGTGTGTGAACCAAGGTCCCAACCTAATGTTTTCCAGAAATTTGGCTGCTTTTCTCATAAAAATTAATTGGATTTCCTTTCCTTCTCTGGCGATTAGATATACTACATATATACTCAATTCTTTTTTTAAATTTTTTTTTTTTTTTTTTTTTTTTTGGCAGGAGGGAGGATACTAGGGATTGAACTCAGAGGCACTCAAATACTAGGCCACATCCCCAGCCCTATTTTTTATTTTATTTAGAGTCAGGTCTCACTGATTTGCTTAGTACCTCGCCATGGCTGAGGCTGGCTTTGAACTCAAGATTCTCCTGCCTCAGCTTCCCAAACTGCTGGGATAACAGGCATGCACCACCATGCCCAGCTATATACTAAATTTTTAGGGTTCGTCCTTAGACTTTCTATTCTGTTACATTGGTCTACATATCATTTTTGCCAGTCATTTTTAATAGTTGAAGCTTTATGATACATTTTAATAGAAGTATCTTGTTGTATTGTAAGGATGTCACGCCATCTGGTGTGATGGACTCTGAAATTCATGAAGTCATTTTGTTCCTTTGCAGCAGGTTGTCCAGAGCATTGTTCATCTCCATGAACTCCTCAGCACTCTGCAGGTACATGCCTTCACCTTCTATCTGTGCACTTTCTTGTTTAGAGAACAAGAGAGATTTTTGTTGACCTGAATCTTGAGGTTTTTGTGTTGCTTTATGAGTAAATGAGAGCCTCGACCTAGAGAAGACTGGCTCTTAAGGTGAGGCTTACAAAATCCAGTGGTTGGAGCACCATCAACCTTCCAAGACTAGAATTTATGAACAGCTGGTTGTCTGTGGGTCCTGCTTAATGACACAGGGTGCTTACATGCACTTAGGAGAGCATTTCACTCCAGATAGTCTCTAATTGTAAAGTTTCCACTTCCATACCTCTGTGTGCTGTTATATCCTTGAATCCTGCTCATTTCCTTCCTTGAAGAGTCAACCTCCCACCTACAGTATATACATACTCTCTGCGCCCTAGGGATGGAGGCATATAGAAGTGACTCTAGAAAGTATTTGTCGTTCATATTTTATAACTGTCCAAAGTAATTCTAGAGCATCTTATTATCATATATCAGACCCTTAAAACACAATGGGAGGGAGGCTGGGATTGTGGCTCAGTGGTAGAGCACTTGCCAAGCACATGTGAGGCACTGGGTTCAATCCTCAGCACTACATAAAAATAAATCAATAAAATAAAGGTACTATGTCCATCTATAGCTAAAAATATTTTTAAAAATGGGAGGGTCAGTCTCTCATAGTGCCCCCTGGTATGAAATCAGCAGGATGCTGCTCTTCTGGGTCAGAGTTGCATGGCTGTCTGCTGTGTGCTTTCCTCAGGGTGTGGTGTTACAGCAAGACACCTACATTGAGGACCAGAAGCTGGTGCTGAAYGAGAGAGCACTTACTAGGAGCTCATCCCGCCCCAGCTCCCTTATCGAGCAGGAGAAGCAGCGCAGCCTGGAGAAGCAGCGCCAGGACCTGGCTAATCTCCAGAAGCAGCAGGCACAGCACCTGGAGGAGAAGCGCAGGAGGGAGCGTGAATGGGAGGCCCGGGAGAGAGAACTGCGGGAGCGAGAGGCTCGACTGGCTGAGCGTGAGGAGAAGGTGCAGCGCGGGCAGCAGGACTTGGAGAAGGACCAAGAGGAGCTCCAGCAAAAGAAGGGAACATACCAGTGTGACCTGGAGAGGTTGCGTGCTGCCCAGAAACAGCTGGAGAGAGAACAAGAGCAACTTCGGCGGGATGCGGAACGGCTCAGCCAGAGGCAGATGGAACGGGACTTCTGTCAGGTAATAAGAGTCTCTGTCCAGCCAGGAGAGGGCTTTTCCTTACCTGTACTGGGAAAGTCACGTAATGGCTGACATTCTTAACTAAGCATCAGTAAAAAAGCAAGCAGAGAGAGAATCCCTGTTTTTACAGTCTTTGCTCTACTCTGAGATGGGGTTGGGGAAGAAGTGTCTTTATCTGCCTTTTGCATCTTTAGGAAGTTGAAGAGGAAGATGGACATGTTCAGGGGTTTAGGCCAGGGAAGTCAGTGAACCCTTTGAACTCACTTGAACTTCCTCAGCCAGCACCAACATGGGCTAAGTAAGTAGCCTCAGCACATCTGCGAGAATAGCAGTCAGCCATTCAGGATTTGGGGAGCAAATCCTCTGTCCTGTGCCACATGAGAAACCAGGCATGGCCTCCACGTAAAGGAACTTGTAACCTGCTATAGAAACACCAAGGAAACCCCAGAACATGCAGTGCTGTGGCCAGGAGACAGCAGTAGATGGCTATCTGCACAGATTTGCTTGTTTGGGGTGGTGAGACACCTGGACTCTCAGGGCCTGATTTGTCCTGTGCCGCTGTTGAAGACCTTTCCTCTTTGGTAGCTGCTGTTTACATGGAGAGGTTTTCAGTTGTTCAGCATACTGCCTCCCAACTTTATCTCAGTGATGGTCCACAGTTTTTCTGGAATATGGACACTTGTGCCAGATAGAAAGCCTGGGTGTGCACAGATCTCCTCGCTTTTAAAACTCATGTTACCCAGTTTCTTTGAGTGATTGACATGGGACCATGAAAGAAAATTGAAGAGGCATCTTCCAAAGTGGGGACAGTGGTCACTTTCTACAGAAGTATTCAGACATATGGTAGGGAGCAAGAAATGACTCTGTTGTTTTTTATGACCCAAGGATGGATTCCACCCCCACCCAATAAAATCAGCACAGCCTTGAGAACAGAAGGTTCCCAGGCAACTGAGATCCGATGGCTTTATCTCTGGTTTAACCTTTGACTAGGATCAGTGTAAGCCCAGTTCATTTTACTTACCCTCTAACATGGACAGATCTGTAATCTCTGCTGTGAAATAGCTAGATCCTTATGTAAGTCAGTGTTGAGATAGGCAGCTGTGCTTATTTCCTCGGGGAGTGGCAGTTCTCTCCTAAGCTGCCCCTTCAGAGAGGTACTATTAATCCTTTATGATACTGACATGTAGAATAGAAATATTAATGGTATCAAAGGTGATATTTTTAACATGTTCATGGATACTGACTACTTGGAGGAAAGCAGCGAATGAGTAGTTCTGAATCTTTGGACAGAACTCTACATAGCCAGTGGGAGTGGGTAAACACCAGTTGGATCCAGCCAGTAACTATTGAATGGGCACTAGGGCTGCTGATGGTCTCCAGCTTAAAATGCCTTCTCTTGAATATGTGCAGGTTTCACATCAGCACACCAAGCTGATGAGGATCCCATCCTTCTTTCCCAATCCTGAGGAATCCTCACTGCCATCTGCACCTTCAGTAACCAAAACAGGATCATTGGACTCAGAACTTTCAGTGTCCCCCAAAAGGAACAGCATCTCTCGGACACACAAAGATAAGGGGCCCTTTCACATACTGAGTTCAACCAGCCAGACAAACAGACTACCAGAGGGACAGAGCCAGGCCCCATCGTGCACCTCCACCCGCCTGTTTGGGTTAGCTAAGCCAAAGGAAAAGAAGGAGAAAAAAAAGAAGAACAAAGGAAGCCGCTCCCAGCCTGGTGGTAAGTCACCCATATCCAGTCTTCCTCTGGCCATAGTATCCATATTCTAAAAAAGGGGAGATTTTAGTGACATGAGGGTTTAAAAAGGGGATACAGTTCAGATGTATGAAAGCCAAGCTTTCATGCTCCTGAGCCCACTTGCTAAGAATGTTTGAGCAATGAGGGTATAAGAACCCCTTGCTGTGTGGCCCAGTAGAATGAGGTTTCATTTTTGTAGCATTCTCCACATGAGGAAGTGGAACTTGCCCAAAGGAAGTGATTCAGGTCCTCCCTTTGTAGGCTTCATCCATTAACTGGTAAAAAAAAAAAATAGCATCAGATGGTATAGTCCTCAAGTGACTGTATAAAGTAGGTCCTGCAAGCCCCYAAGAGAAATGAGGAAACTAGGCTCAGATTAACTAATGCACCAGCAGTCAGAGAGCCTGTGGTTGAGCCRTGCCAAATGTCTCCCAATCATATGCAATGTTTGCTTTTCTGTACGTTCCATTAGAATTGATCTTTCCCTTTTGTAGGCCTGTTTATAAACTCTAGTGATCATGTAAGTTATGGGGATAAGAATTAGTGAAGAAATCAATAAGGAGCTCGCTTACTACATGAATGTTGAAGCCCCATTTATAGAAAGTGAATTAATTGTCCACAAAGCCCCTGTCACCTGCTGCATCACAGAGGAGGTGAAATGAAAAGGGCAGCTTTTCCAGGATTTCCTTGTCATTCCTGCCTTTACTGTTCCAGATGGTCCTGCTTCAGAAGTATCAACAGAAGGCGAAGAGATCTTCTGCTGATCTTATCCTCTCTGCCGAGGCAGCTGCCTACTGACTGGCTGTGGTGCCTAGCACCACCTCTCCTGTTGCTGCAGCGTGCTCAAGTCCCTTACGCTGGATGCCTACAGCTTTTCAGCATCCAGTCTTCCTGGTCTTCCCCAGGTCCTGGACAAGAACAGATTGTCTGAATGTCAGGGTGGGGAAGGAAACCCAGATTCCACTTCATCCATTATCCGTGACTGCCCAGGCTCACGGGTAGGGCTGGCCCTACTCAGGTTGTTACACCGGAAACAGTGGCCCCAGAAGTACAGGCAATGGTTTGGGACATGTCAGGAATTCCTAACAGCTTGAAAGAGTGTTTCCAAATGAGCTCTGAAACTCTGCCTTTTATTTGGGGGAACAAAACCAAAATCAAAAAACAAACTGACCAGATGGCACATGGTTATTCAGTACTTCATCCTGTTATCCTAATAGATGGAGTTCCCTTTAAACCACCCAGTGCACACATCACCCCGTTTTTGCATGTATTTCTCATTTTATTTTGGAAGGGATAACAAGCATTTGTGAAACCAGTGAGAGAAGACTTGACATGTATAAAAGGTACCTGATCTGTACCACCTTTATCTCATTGCCCCAGACTTTWAAAAAAAAAAAAAAATCCAGAGGAGCTGGATGGGGCCGCGCACGCCTATAATCCCAGCAACTCGGGAGACTGAGCCAGGATGATTGCAAGTTCAAAGCCAGCCTCAGCAACTTAGCAAGACCCTGTCTCAGAAATAAAAAGGGCTGGGGATGTAGCTCAGTGATTAAGCATCTCTGGGTTCAATACCTGGTATTAAAAAAAAAAATCCAGAAGAAATATACTGGCTGTTCAAGATACTTGCCTATAGATTCTAGGCACAGAGAAGCCTCCTGTGTACTATAATCTGTGTGGTGACACTTTTTGGTTGTCACTGACCACCCAGAATAGCCCTCATAAGGGCTCCCCCAGGGCAGCTGCTGTGTCTTGGTCCTCCCTGTGGGAGAGCACGTGCCCTGTCAGCAGCACCCACCCCAGAAGCCACCACCCGCTTGGCTGTGCCAAGGCTCTGCGAGGTTGTCCTCCCAGCACACACACTAGGATGGCTGGCTGATAAGTAGGTTCTGGCAAAGGGGATAAGCCTACCTATAGCAGTTTTCAGCAGCGGGGACTGAGAAGGGGGTCTGCACCAGGCAGTGGCTGGGAATACTCATGTCCTCTTAGGAGATCTTGTCAGAACTCAGTTTTCTAAAAAATATTTTTAAATCTAAGGTTGCTAATTATGCTTTGCCCCTTGAAGATGTCACAATGCTGCCTGGTTTTCCTTCTCTCTTTCCACTGTTCTGTGTTTGCTTGAGGCTTTCCCTGCTGTTACATGCTAGACAGATCATTGGTAAGGTTTCCCTTGAGGCCCCAAATACTGCCACCTTGRTACTCCCCATGGAGGAGACCCAGAAAATTCTGTGCTTCAGATGTGGCATACAGTTCTTGCTTTTTGCCCCTCAGAAGCATGTGGCTTTGAACATTCTTTTAAAAAAAGCAAACACAAATCTAACTTGGTGCTTGTTGATGAATTGCAAGCTGGCCTTGCAGATGGAGATATTTATCTTTCAGTTTATTTGAAAGAGRTCTGGTTTAGAATTTTTAGCCTAAATTTTATTTATTTGTGTGTGTCTGTATGTGTATGTGTGTGTGTGTGTATGTGTGTATGTTGTTTGGTTTTTGTTTGTAAGGTGAACCAGTACTAGCCCAACAGTTTATCTGGTCAGCACAGAGAATGAAGTAGCAGGTGGTGCTGTTTATTTGTGGCTGGTTGGCTTTCCAAGTGCCTTGAAGGTCCAGAAGAAAACTTAGGGTTGGGGCAGGGCTATGGCCCTTCCTCTCCTCCACTCATTCTTTTATTGATGTTGTCTTCCTTGTTTAGGAATTAGGAAACTTTGCCACCTATGAATTTCATTTGCCTGTTTTTGTCATAAAAGAATTCTAACTTTTAAGAAACAAACTTCTAAGACTAAAGCCASATAATTTTTCTATTGAAACCATGATGTACCTCCCCAAAGACTCTAAACAGCAAAAAGTGTTTTCCTCCCATCAGTCCACATATATAGCTGAAGCCTCTCCTGACTTTCCTCAGAGACACCACAGTGTCCTTATCTCTGCCCACCTGGCCTTCACAGGAGAGCAGTCTTCAACCAAGACCTCTGGTTCTTTCCCATTAGGTAGGACAGATGGTCCTGCTCTCCATATTTGAAATGAAAGTGCTGATCAGATTTGCTCAGTCTTCCAAAGATCACTTTGGATTCTGTAAGTTACTGTGCAGCCTCACACAGCTTGATTTCAATCTTCAGGTATAGTTTACTCCTTACTAGGTATAACATCTAGCTTGCTTTGGTCTATTAGTGGTTGTTTTAAAAAACATATTTCACCTCTGCCCACACCTAACTCAAAACAGTGTGGTCAGGTTCTCATTGGACAAATTGGGAATGAGAAGAAAAAAAAATCCCCTGAATTCCCCTACGTCACCCAGTATCCTGCTGGGAATATAGAAAGAGAACCACTTACCAAGAGCCGTGCTCTCACATGCAGACTCCATCTCTCTTTTTTTTTTTGAAATTGGCCTCAAGGGGAATGTTGTGTTTRGGGAGTGACCTGGGATTGCTGCTGCTTATGCTTTTGCTTTCAACCTTGAGAACTACTCTAGCTGCTCTGTGTAGGTTTCTCTCCTGTGAAAAGAAGTGGTTTTCCAGGGACCACAAGTATTTCCCACACTAGTTCCCCACAGTAGGACCATCAAACTAAAGAAAGCAGATGCCTGAAATTATGGAATTTCAAGGGATGGATGGAATTACTACCCAGAATCCCCAGGTTTCCTAAAAGGAGACCACATCTTCTCTCAAAAATTATGATCATCTCAGTAGTTGTCATCCCATTTGGGTGACATGCACTTTAAATGCACTCTCATCAGTTGGCACCGTTTTTGAGACAATTAGATGTGAACTGTTTTCTTTTTAGAAAAAGAAGAGGGTTGAAAACATGCAAGTTGCCACATCCAACCTTTGCCAACATCCCCTGTACCCTGTGAGAGCCATCTTGTGGGGAAGCATTAACTCCTCATCAAGATGTTTTTAAAAAGGTACGGACCTTGCCTTCTTTTCTCTCCCATGTCTCAGGGTTATGCCACTAAATGCTATCCCTTTGCTAATTTTCTCCCTTGTTTGTTATCTTCCCAAGGCCTTGGTGGTGGTGGTGGTGGTGGTGGTGGTAGTAGTAGTAGTAGTAGTAGTAGGCGGCACATGTTTTTGAGACCCTTGGGGTTTCGTTTGTTCCTTTGTTGTGGGGATGGTGTTGATATACAAGGGCTTAAGTAGCCCTACCTTAAATAAAGGATGGAACCATAAGTTTTGTAGGTCAGAATTTGATTCAGAAATCACTCTCCATAAAAGTACTTTATAATTCATTCTTTTGTTTCTAAGGCTCTTTTTCCAGCTCCTGTTCTTTCTTCCCAAGGATTTTGGTATTTGCATGACAGTTGTATCCATAGGACAGTCAAGCCCTGGGAGTGGTAGATAGATGGACAGTCCTAGGAAGTGGACTTGGTGGCCAGGAAGGTGACTCCAAGATGACCCCAGAAACTGCAGAAGGGTGTTCCCCTCTGGGCCTGGGTGCCGTTTGCATGTGGAAGCCTACAAATGACCTGATCCCTGCCTTTATTCAATAGTACCTCCTGGTGGTCCCCACCAGCCCTGCTGCTCTCCCTCACCCTTCCTCAGAGATTTGAGAGGGCAAAGAGTTTGTTTGGGTTTTGTTCCTAATTTTTTTTTTTTTTCATTATAGCATAACATTCCTAGTTAACCAGAGCCTTGGAATCTACTACCTGCTGGCCAGGTTTTGAAAAGTATTTTAATGCTGCCACAAAAGGAAGGTGGGGGGGGGAGGGCCTGCTCACATACTCATATATTTTAATTTGTCAAAAAAAATGGGCAGGCCATGAATTATTTCTCCATCTCACTGAGATGGGTGGTCCTTACTGGCTGAGTGTCCACTACCAGAAGCGGATGACCTCCCTAAACCAGGTGGGAGCCACTGTGCCAGGGCCCTCCAGACCTCCCCCTAACATGAGCTGTCCCCTGCCTTTCCCCACCACCTGACAGATGGGTCCTCCATGCGCTGATGAGGGACAGCCCAGTCTGTCTGCCTATGATCCAGGTCAGCCTCGCTGTGTGCACTGCAACGCCAGGCCCTGCAGAGGGCGCCGAGGACACACCTGGCACCTCTGCTCGCCATGGCTGTTTCAGATGCTGTATGAACACTTCTGTGCTAACTCCTAGTAAATAAAAAGGTGGGTTAAAACCCTAACGCTGTACATTAATTTGTAATTATGTATAAAAGTGAAGCAGGTTTAAACTTTAAAGATTTTTTTTCAGTGTGTTTTCTGGAATTTTGCCACAGCATACTGGCTTTGTATTTTATTTATCTTTCTAGTTACTGGCTTTAGACTCTTGTAAAAGTTCTCCTCAGCCCTTTCAAAAAAATAAATTTCCATTGAAGTCTTGATTGTTGCTGGGATTTGTTTCTTGTCTTGGGTTCCTGGTAAAAGAGGTATTCACCCCCTACCAGCTCTGAGGAGAGCCTTTTCCCCAGCAGACAAAAGGTTTATTTCTATACCTTCGGCACAAAGCAGTGAAGAGGACAGTTTGACCCTCTCCTGGAGCCAGACCCAAATCATGAGGGTGACTGATCTGCCCTGAGGTCAGAATGGGAACTTATTCCCATTTAATCAATGCAATCCAAGTGTTCCATGGTATTCAGTCTACTGTCTTCAAAGTTCCTTTACCTTTCTTTGCCAAATTTTTCCAACCCATCCCCAAATGAGCAACTGCCAGAACTAATTCAAGAAGAGAACTTCCAGTTTGCATGTAGCTCCATAGGGGTTTGTGGGGTCTGGTCTCAGAAGGCAGGTGGGGGTGAGGAGGGGGGAGACTCCAGGAAACTACTGAGATGCACCATGTCCAGCGGCACTGGCTTCCTACCTCTCTGAGTCTGGGCCTACTGGAACTGGTCCTCTGATGCAGAAGACATGGCAATGTTGCCTGGAATCCTGGCTCTGCCCCTCCTCACCCCAACAACCGAAGAGTCCTGCCAGACTGTGACGGGTAGTCCCTTTTTCCATGAACTTGGAAGTGCACAGATTTCTTCACAGAGGCTTTTGTATCCCTGGCAATAGCCGCCTCTCCTTGAGGCAGGGGAACACTGGTCCCTTTTCACCCACTTCTCCGCCCTCCACTGTCACTGCAGCTCCAGCAGGACCCTCCCCCACTGAGCTATCCAGCTGGTTCCTTCCGTCCCACCCCCATCCCACCCAGACACCTCAGCCCCGACAGGAGGAATGGTTCCCATGGCCTCCCTCCTGGCTCCCCACTGTCGTTGGTTCTGAGCCAGACAGGCTCTGTCTGGGAAGCAAAAGGGGCAAGAAGGTTTCATTCTTCCCTTCCAAAAGAACAACAGAAGCACAGAGCACAGAGGGCTCCAAGGATCCTAGATGACTGGCCATTCAGTGTGGGTGTGAAGTCTCGCCTGCCTAAGAAGGGCTGCTGTGCCCCGGGCCTCTGCGAGCCCAAACCTGCCCCAGCCCAAGGGAAGGTGCTTGGGCTGGGGGTGGCCATCCTTCCATCTGCATGAGGTCTGTAGGCAAG